TTTGTTGTCAAGTGGTTAGTTTATTAGAACTCTTAGAAAGTGACTTCTAGTACAAAATAATATCTATATTAATAAATAAACAATTTTAACATGCATGTGAACGCAGTCTAAACTCGCGTGACGATACTTTTTAAAAATAGAACGTTCGTTCTTTTTGCGAATTAGAAGTGTTCTCTCTTCAAAACAAATTGCTGACAAGCGGGACGTTCGAATTTCTTATTTTGAATACGGCAACCGGGCACAATAACGTAACTAATATTTCGATAAACATTTTGATTAGGAAATACGACACTTATTGCTTGGTAATAAGATTATCTTGATAGCAAAGTTAAGTTGGTCGTAGTATTTCAATTTAATTCGTTGTGCGTTTCGGATGCAAATGTCGGTGATGATGAGAGTTGATTATGTAAATGCGGGCTATGCTTTGTGTGGGTCTCGCGAAGTGCGTATTGTTTTGACCGTGATAGAAGCCGAAGAGTTTGTGATTATTGACTTGCCAGTTAGTAATTTAGTTTATATATATGTACCTATTATATCTACGTCATAATCATATGAGTAAATTTCGTTAAAATGAGACAACTTTGACAGTAAAGTAGTGCCAGAGATTGAGGATACGATTCCATGGTGTCGTTGAGGATCAGCCCTGCGATTCTATAAAAATCCAAACCCGAATTCGAACTCACTTAGGTATCCGAATTCACTTCAAAAAGCAGCATCCGCTCAACCTCGAGTTAGTAATAACGTTTCATGGCATAAGTGAAGTGAGTTTCGAAATGACACAGGAATAGAATATCTGAGACACGTATATTAAATCAATTTCGTTTTGTATTTCTATAGAAAAATTAGTTCAATAGAATTTCTATAATAAATGACGTGAACACGTTTGAAACAGCGAAGGTACCTCAAACACCCAGATGACAAGCTATAAGCCGTATAGATGCTTAGTTTTAGGAAATCCTAATAAATTTAAAAAGATCTATTTACAGACTTGTTTCATTGTATCCCTTGCCTATATAAAACGGTCAAAACCTATGTTAAAGTAAAATTAATTTAAGTTTAAAATAAGGTTTAATTGATTTTGTGCAAATTCTGTTTTGTTTGACCTCATGAACGAGAGATAGCTCGATACTTTGAAATTTCAATAACGAAACAAGACTTTGGAGGATACTCATATCCCTCTGGGATAGAAGATTCATTATAAATTTGTTACAATGTTATTTTTTGGATTTGGATTAAAAGTAAATAATAAACAAGCATGTAATATATTATGAAGGTATTTAGCCGCAAATAACCTTTTTTTTGTAGTTCAATAACCTTCTGATAGAGTTTACAAACAATTAAGACCATAGCTGTTTATTAAGTTAATTAATTGCCCAATTAATTGAATCCCGAAGTAGATTGCGAGTTTCACACAACAGAAATGGACTATGTATTTCATATCTAATACATATTTGAAGTACATAGGCCAAGACTTCTATGCAATTTATAGATTTAGTGCCTTTTGTAAGCTTCGTGGTCAAAGCTAAAGTTGTTTTTTAGTAGGTACATTCTTAATTTGAACGACGATTCTTGAAAATCGTTAACCTTCTATTGAAAGGAAACTTATTGATAAACTTAGTGAAAATCAATTAACCGACCCTTGAAGTTTTCTTGATGGGAAGTTTAAAAATTAACCACGTCGCCGCACGCGATGTCGCGCGTCACAAAATGTCACAGGCGACAGACTGTTGGCGGGGGACGCCCGTTGATATTATTTATTTACACCGTCAGTTAACTAACCAGTAACTTTGAACTTTAGTAACCAAAGAAAGGGTTTTCCTGATTTATGTGGAGAAATTAATTATGCAATAAGCTAAAATAATGTAATTAAAAACGTCAGAAAAAATACCACTCACGTGAGAGATATTTATTGTAAGAGCCGGCCAAACAAAAAGACGTCCTGAACAAGTGGTAGGGGAAAAAATATTTTTGGACGATTCAAAAGTGCTTGTAACAAGCTTACTTGAATAAAAACATTTTCATTTCATTTCATTTCATTCCAAACGAAAAACACAACGTTTTGTTGTATAGGAGCCTCCCTTTAGTATTTGTTTAATTTTAAATTTAATTATTTATTTCTAAAGGTACTATATATATTCTAGAAATATTTCAAGCTTCTACCTGTTGTCGTTGTTAATATCGAGCAATAACAAGCTAAAAACCACGCTTGTTGAATGGAAGCAAATTTAAATATGTATATTATTCTGGTTCTTTGGTATTTGTTGTTGAAGCGGCAACATAAATACATCTGTGAAAATTTCAACTTTCACCGTTTATGAGATACAGCCTAGTGATAGATAGACAGGCAGCGCAATAGATATTTATTTGCCTTTAAATAGGGTACAATTTGATAGCAATTAATTAAAATAAAATTAGAACTTAAAACCTATTTAGCCATACAAAAATAGCATGCAAATATTAAATTTAATTAATTTTTCATAACCAGTAAGTAGTAATACCTAGGGTTCCCGTTTTACCCTTAACAAGAAACATTATTATATTTGATTAATTTTCCATTCACAATGATATACTGGAAAATATTCTTAGTGAACAATGATTAAAAATCCACTTGGCCCCTGGCACTCGGAGATGGGACGAACCCATGACCTTTCGCCATCCGGGCGGCTGCTCTAACCACTGAGCTACCCAGGACCTAACAGGACTGACGAATCTTTCAAGTACTTGTTACTTTTTCGTTACTACAGAGCGTATTTTCATCAATGTCCAGGCAATCCACGCAAACAGCCGAAAGAAATATTTTGAAAGACACTTAAACCTTCGGTAAAGATGAAAATTTGTTCAAATTATTAGATATGATGCTATACCTACTGAAATTTTTTTTAAATGAAAAACAAAAACATTGTTTAGTAGTCTATGTTTACTATCTAAGAATATAATTACAAATGACAAGGCTGTATGGGCTAAGAACCCTTTGCCTTCCCCTTCCCCTGTAGGAATGGGAAAATTGAACCAAAAAAAAAAGTCTATGTTTACTCTTTGGTTTAGTCGATTGCGAGCGAGCTATTTGTCATTTTGATTGGATAATTGATTACCTTGTCCCTAATAACAATAAGATCATTCTATTAAGTGTTAATTGCAAAATTATTCGAGACTAGCTTTCCGCCTGTATCGTTCATAATAAATCTCTTGAATAATTATAAGAACCGCATTAAAATTTGTTGCGTAGTTTAAAAAATTCTATACTTGTTATATATTAAACCAAATGTGTATAGTTTTTAAGTATTTTTCAAATGATTTCCTCTCTATTTATTCGCTTATTCCGTTCTATCTTATTTAAGATTCTTAGGTATAGATTCAGGTTTGTTAAAAGTTTCTTAATACAAATCGTTTCCGTAGGCCATGTTCCTGATTCTAAGATAACAATACGGTAACATAAAAATATTTTTTGGTGAAAAAATTCTGCCTTATTTGAAATTCATAAATCACGAAAATGAAGGTATATTGGCTTCTGAAATATTAAAATGCGCCTCTGGCTGTTTGAGCGAATCCTTCGCTAATATGCTATGTTTAAATAAAAAATATATATTATGAAGGATACACACTTCTTATGTGATCTTGAGTATTTTGCAATAGAGCTTATTCAAAAGCTTTTTTTAGATGGAAGTAAAAGTAAATCAAACATAATATTAAGAGAACGTTTTCTTGCCACGATTAATTCAATGGCGCACTGGTTAGTGCTTTCGGTCTACGATTCAGACGTCAAGTAACCTTTGTAAGGGTCAGTTATAAGATGGGTCAACGAAATTTGACTATCACAAGTTCCTTTTCCTACTAATGATTTATTGTGCCATTGAAAGCACGGAGCTTTAGAAGGTTAGGGAAATGTATTGTATTAACATAGCATTGGAACAGTTTTTAGAATCTAATTCTATCAGTCACTTGCACAAACGATAATTAAAATTTAATGACACCTTTAAGCACTAATTAATGTCAGATTTGTATGGGTAATGTCACTTTAAACTAATGACGTTTGATGGTTGTGTAACTGGCTGATAGATTAAATCAAAAAACGGTTCCAATGCCTATGTTAATACAATAAGTTTCCCTAAAAAAAAAATTATCATAATCTATATATAAACATGCTTTTCTCCTAAAAGACTTGGATCTGGTATGTTTATCATTGTTCAATATTCTAAAGAATATGTTGTGGTGTCTGGATTGCTCTTAACTTCTAAAGCAATAGAGTTACGAGTACCAGGCATGAATGTAAACCCAAATTTTTTTGTTGATTTGTTATTTATAATAATTATCCGAATTTTACACAAGTTTTTTGAATAAATTGACCGTCTTGTAAAAAAGTATTAGTATTCACTTTTATAAGATTTTTTTAAAGTCTTTCAGTTAGTTTAGTTTAGGTTTATGCACTTATTCGTTGTCCTATTTCATAACACCAAGTGCGCCAAAAAAACAGTGACTTCAAAATTGTTTTATCAAATATATTCTTTCAATGGTAGCTGAGATTGTTTCTGGTAACACTGAGGTTAAAATAATTTGTTTCTAGATGTTAATGGCATATCGATCTTTTTGCTTTGATAAATAAGACTAACAATGTATGGTTTGTAACTTGATAGCGTCGTATGTATCATAGTATATGTGACCTACTGTTTGCATATATTAGCCTATGTCACCCGCGTATGATGTAGATGTAGTCCTATAGGTGAAATAATTTTCATGTTCGGATCAATATTTCCTTAACCCAACAGAGTTAGAAACTTTATCTCTTTATGTATTAGTATACCTATTCTCACCAGTGTCGTACTCAGGGTTTTATTTTTATTTTTGTGCCAACATTTTTTTGGTGTTATTTCTGGTACACCCACCCCTTTATTGCTTATTTTGCGTATGAGCTAATCCACACAATTACCATTAGATTTACACCGAACTTTAAACTGAATACCTAATAAATGTGTAGGTAAAATAAATAAGAATTTCTTTTTTTAAACATTTTATTACATTGTCGTTTGGCAAGAGGAAGATAACATGCTTTTTATTACAACTTCATTTATTATCTTAAACATTAATACTTTTTGGTTTATATACAAATACACATCACACGCGCAGGTTACTTAATGATGCCAAAATATTATAGTATTGGATTATTTTAGTTAGCACCAAATATACAAGAGATATGAATAATTACATTTCGTTAATCAACATTCTAATAAATGATAATTAAATTATAACGATATATATATTGAAAATTGCTACACAGCTGATAAAGACAATGGATTCTGAAAATGCCAAGAAATATTTTTTGAGACTTGTCTAGCCAAATGTTATTAATTTAGTTTTAATTATAAGACGACTTTGAACAGTATATATTGTAACTATTTATAATTTTGTACACTTCTATTAAACTATTTATTTATTTACATTTTTATTGCACAAATTATTACTATGGAATGTCAAAATTCTTATTTTTACATTATAAAAACTTACAGACAGGACACTTATTTAGGACGCTAATCAATATTTACATACACTTAAATATTTATTTTTTATCTTTATTTTTACTCAAATGCTATATAATTATTTACAATGATCACTAGCTAGAAACACCATACCTTCGTTCCATTGCTAAACGGAAACTATGAGAATTTAAAGGTACTGGAATTCAAAAGTTACAAACAAACTATTTGGTAAATTTAAAAATAACATCACAAAATACACTGAAGATTTTTATCATAATAATCGAACTTATGTACATTTAGGTCAAGATGTATTTAATGCAATACCCCTGCCGTTCTGTCGTCTCGCCACATGGGATTCATAGTGTATATTCCTCTTTGTCCTCGAAAAGAAAGCAGCGTTGCAACCATTTACATTGCACCGGTGTAGAGCTTGAGCATGTACAGTTTCGCAATGATGTTTCAATGTATTTAGATCTTTGAAATTATCTCTGCATCCTCTACAAGGATAAGTGCCGTCTTTATTTGGTCGTGGAACCTCATCTTCAATGGAATAATTTAGCTTTCTTGGCAATGGTGGGGAATAACTTTGGCTCTGACAACCGAAAGCATTGAGACTAGGTGGGAGAAAACCCAAGGGAAGAGGTGGGAAGTTAGGAAGCATTCCAAATGGTGCGAATAGAAAAGGGTGCTGTGCGAACATGTCTCGGTTGCTTAGGTAGGCTTCTGGTAATTGTAGGGGAGGATAAGGAGGACTGAAAGGCATGTGTTGATTGAACTGATTCCTGATTTTGTCAGACTCCTTTGCTCTATAATATTTGTGAGATTCTATGTACGGAACAGCTCGCTCTTCCTCATTGAAACGCGATAGGACTTCCATTTGCTCTCTGATCTTTTCTATCAATCGAGATGGAGTGTCATCAGATATTCTTAAATCTTCGGAGGATAACAACTTCCTATGAAGGTTTTCGTTCGCACTGTGTCGGTCTCTACTTCGTCTTGATGAAAAAGATGCTCGGCAGCCATCAATACTACATTTGTACATTAATTTCAGATGTGAGTTTTGGTAATGTGTTTTCAGTAAATATACGTTTTGAAATATTTTTCCGCAGACGGCACAGCGTCGAGGATTGTCTTGATCGAGGGGAACGTCAGCGGTGCTTATGAAAAAACCGCTGTCAAAGTGACCGTATATTTGGCCGTGATTATCTTCAGTCGCGTAATCGAAACTTGACACTGACGAAGACGGGGATCTATCTGAATAATCTACTGATTCCGTCAACGATAAATTAAAGGGTCCCATAGAACTATGGGTGTCAGATTTTTTTAAATTCGGAAAATCACCTTTCGATAGGCTCTCTAATCGTTTCAATGCGTTTTCTGATGAAAACTGATCCTCATTTGATTGAATGTTATTATTTGTTTTACATTTTTCAGACTTCTCTACAGGTTCTTCTTTGATTCTTAAGTCTTGTGCCGTGTAATTGATATCCGTAGGTTCTTCTTTTACAGGCGTGAATTCTTGTTTTATCGCAACTTTTTCGCCGCTATCCTGTGTATCGACATGTTCTACATTATTTTCGCGACTTTCAGTTTTGACTCTTTTGAGGTCTATAGCATTATACTCACTTTCAGTTTGAGGTTCTTTTGATTGGTCATCATTTTTAACATTTTCATCATAGGAGTGATTATTTTGCAATCTAGTTGGATTCAAATTCTTCCGTTTCCTTTTTACCTCAGGATTACAAGCTTCATCTTTTCGATTATCCACATTCTCATTATTATCACTTACGCTTCTTTGATCATATTCAGTGTCTGAATCATCGACTGATCCATTTGATTTGTGGAGATTTGAATAATAATCACTAGTATCTATATGTTCACCATCTTCATCATCGTCATCTCCTGCAACTACTACGATGCCATCATCTTCATCTGATTCGCCTTGACCATCTTGATCTTTATTTTCTACTGAGTCCGATTCTCTTCGTAAATGTGAGTGATCAATACCAGATGCGAAGTTTATATTTATATTGTTCTTATAGTCTAATGGCACATTTGAAGCAAATTGTCTCATGTTATGAGATGGATTCAGTAGAGGATATGAACCAAATGGGTGCATGGAATTGATTACAGGTGGTATACTAAGCCCAGCTGAGTGGGGTGGAATTAGCACTGAATGAGCTTGTGCACTTCTGCCATCGTGAGGAGAAATTTTTCTTCTTAGATGTGGTGAATGAAGCTTTGGATTTGGATTAGCACTGTGTCGGTTTCTGGATCGTCGTGAGCTAAACATCATGCTGCAACCTTCCACAGTACATTTATGCATTTCTCTAAGATGTACAGCGGAAAAATGTATTTTAAGCGCACCTTTATCACAAAATGTTTTTAAACAAACATTACATTGAACTCTTTTTTTTCCAGTAGCAGGGTTAATAAAATGGGTTCCTAAATTTAATGGCATTGGAGATGCTCCCCATTGTCGCTTAGGTGGAGTAATACATTTCCCCAATAATAAATTTCTTGAAGTTTGTGCTGCATCATATGAATCTTTACTTAAGTTGAGTACATTTTCTTCATCTTGTCGCAAATTGTCTAGTCTTAGTTTTCCAGATATGTTATTAGATTTATTTTCTATGGACTCTACTGGCTTAGTAGACATCTGTGGTATAAGAGCTTGTAACGATGCAAGACCCATAGGATTTTGACTTAATGCAGCTACCATTGCAGCAGGGTGATTGAAGGTAGACGGCATAGACATAGGTGGAATTGGTATGTTTCCAGGAAGAGGGAAATTGAAAAACTGACTCCTCATTAAATCCATAGTGGCTTTTTCTGCATGACTCATTTCGTAATTTATTTTACTATTATCTTCTTTATCATTATTGTCGCTGCATTTCTGTTTTCGAAAATCAAAAGGCTGCATATTTTGTAAATGACTTAGAGGGGATGAATTTACTGGACTGGTGGTTGAGACGGGGCTAGATGAGGTAGATAAGCGGACACTATGATTTGGTGAGAGTTCCGCTGAAGAAACTCTATGTGGCGAGTTATTCTGAATGGGAGATGACCTGTTTTGTATTGGAGATAGTCTTTCTTTTTTTATTTCAGATCTATCATTCTCAACGGACGATTTCATTTGCTTCTCTTGAATGCTTCTAAGATATTCGAAGTGTTGTTTCGCTTCCATCATGTGTTGAAAATATTTAAGAGATTCTTCGTTGCGAGTATCTTTTGCTGATTGTTCCATAAGCTTTCTGAATTCTGCCTCTATTTTGAATTGTTCAAGGACGCGCGGGTCGTAAGTTTCTGGTTTGTTTTCACTTTTGTTATGATCATAGTCATGATTATCTCCAGGTGGTGAAGGAAGGCCATTCTTTTTGTAGATGGGCAGAAGCGAAGTTTTGTGAAGAGCTCTTGCTTCTTGAAGTTTGAGGATCTGTTGTAACGCTATATTGTGTTCTGGTCCTCGTCCGCTCCATCTCTCTGCATTACTAGTCTGCGATTCCTGTAACAAAGAGGAAATAACCTTTAAAACTTATTTAAAAAAAGTAAGTCATCTCTTTTATAAATTAATAGTCTTGTAAATGCATAATCATATGCCGTCTGACTGAGCAAAGTAACATAATGTATCAAATAAACACAATCAGAAAAAAATGAATGCGCCTAATTCTAAAAGATTATCGAGTCTAGAACAACCAAAACACGGGTTGTATTTAAACTGCTCGAAGTAACTATAAGGCGAATACAAAACCACACCTTGCGTTTTCAAAGGCTAATATCAAATTAATTCTGAGAACGGAGAGCAATTGGGTAAAATTGTGTAAAATGACGGCTTTGAATCCACTCAAGAATAGAAAAGTGGTTTGTGTCGCGTGTTTGGAACGATTTAATCCAAAAACTAAATTACTATTCATTTAGTAAGCTTCGGGCCGGCTCGCGTTGTCAAAGTTAAATTTTAGTTGATTTGACCACTCCTCAAAATTTATTTTAATGTGACCTTATGAATGAACCGACAAAGGGTTAAGATTTAACTTTAAAATAATGTATTTGAAATGGTTGGCTTGAGATTTTACGATTGTATAATTTATAACAGTGATAATACTTATTATCAAATTTCCACTTTTATAGTGCAATAAAAACCGTTTGTTTTTCACTACTAATATTTTGTTAGTTCATTTTATATGCCATATAAAATTTTAACTAGAATCCAAACAGTTATCAATAAACGTATTTTCTTAACACAATCCACAAATGTAGAATCTTCTATATATTAAACATTATAGTAGTCCTTAATGTGCTTCAATTATTTTACTATAAGACGTCTAAATTTATTATGCAAACTTTGAGATTTATGCTACCTCAATTGTTCAAAAGTTTACAACCCTTTTGACGGCAGTATGCACGCTCGACTAACATTTACGTGCCCCGAAACATTTGTCGCCTGTTCCACGCCGTTTGTCACTCACGTGAGGCGACACCCGCGCCGTGTCATTATTACCAAAACGTCGAGACAGCCCAAACGATCGTTCGAAGGGGTAATTTTACAAAACACCGCAATCACAAAAAACGATTTCGAAACATTTCGTTTCTAATGCCACAAAACGGATAATCGTCGGATAATAAAGTGTCGTTTATGAAAAACACACGTTACCCGAGCGGGTTGACCGGGCCATAATTATAGGTCGCATTGAAGGCAATTCCCTTAAGAGCTAGTAGATTTATCTCGGCTGTGACGTTGGTCCTTTAGTAACTGTATCATTTTTATAATTGTGTCGATTTAAAAGAGAAAACAATAATGACAGTCTTCTTGGAATTTAATCAAGTTATTCGTTTATGCCACCTTTATTGGTAGTAATTTTTAATTTAGTTTTAAATTAGCCCATAAATCGATTATACGTTGGCATTGTTTGATTTAAATGGCCATTTTACATTGTGACTGGGTAATTTCAGCAAAGTTGCGTTTCTCATTATCGTAAATCGTTTAAAGTTTCAATAGCATTTCATTAACCAATGGTTTCGAAGGTTTTTTTAATAAGTCCACAAGTTTTAATATCTTAAACTAATCTCAGTATCATAGTATATTTTTTCTTTTTTTAGTCGGCATAAATCTAACGGATGATGTAGAAGTAAAATAATCTTTGTCATCTAAGCACAGGCGAAGAAGATTCAGCTATACTGCCCAATATTCAGTGTATTTTCTTTTCTTTTTGTCAAGGAACGCCAGAACAGACAAAATATGAATGGATATTCTTGCACCATAGACAGATGATCCTTTGGATACTAACCCATGTTCCATACTACCGTGAGACACTTCACGACTCTTTCATTAGATATATATCGCACCCAACATACTACCGTCGTAGACAAAAAAATTGTCTATTAATGAGTTGCTACTTATGATCAGTCTGTTGTACCTATTTATAATGTTTTCCCTATAGAAATAAATATTAATATCTAAATATGGAGTTATAATACTATTTTTATTATTACTACTTAAATATTTTCGATTACCACTTAGTTTATTATTTTGGAGTAAAGGGATCTTTGTTGATGTTGAAATGCGAAAATAAGTAAGTGATGTTTGAGAATTAACTATAAATATTATACTGGATCTTGAGAACTTTATGCAAATCACACTAATAAATCTTAATTGCCAATTATATAGCTGTTGTTTTATTGAAAATACAACAACAACACATCATGTTATTGCTACATGAGAGATTTATACGAATGGTGTAATGAAAATTGTAATTAAATTGAAATTTTGATAAAATATAGAAAAACAATTCTGCAAGATTAATTTTGTAACAAATTTAAATCTATTAAAAAAAAAATTAAATCACCAAACTTTAAGAATTTATAGAAAAATCTTGAAAGTATATTGTTGTCCTTTTTGTTACTTTGTTTGAACGATCCCACAACTTAAAAATACTTCGGAGGTGCTTTTGCGAATTTTTTGCTTCGAAGTTTTATGTAAGGTAATCTGAGGTTCACTAACGGTGAGAACGCAAGAAGTGATTGTCAACAGTCAACAGCAAAAAAACATAAAAAAAATCGTCCAAAGTCGCAATGTTAAGACGAGGTGATTGACCCGCAAACATTGACACACATCAAAACACAGTAATTCCTGCACACGAGAGCACATTTTCCGTTGCCCCAGGCGAAGTATATAAATATGTCGGCATATCTGACCCACGCCTACCGGCAGAGCAATGGACAAGCGGACATATTTCACGGATTTTTTTTTGTTCATGTAACATAACGAAGTGTACCTTATTACTGTGACGTATGGTGTTGTATCGGATGCAATGTGAATTTCTTTGCTTTTTAAAAAATGCGCGTTTCGCGATGATCGTTTTTCGTTGGCTCCAGCGTCGTGACATGCCATATTGTTCAGTTCATGATACATGTAGTAAGTAAACAGGTTTGGTGTACAGTGAAGCGCAAAATGCGTTGCCGTTTTGCGTAATGACTGCCTTTAAACGTGCGCCGGAGTCGGTAACATATTCGTGTGGGAAAAACTTAAATAAGCGTAATGAGAAATGGCTTTTAGTTCTTTTATTACGCCCTTATTCGGACACTATTGGCGGTGCAAAAATTTTGCGTCTTGCTTTTATTGTTTTGTTTGCCTTATATTAATATTGACTTAAATAGTAATGGATATAAAAATACTTTTTAAAATTTTTTGTTTAATTAATTTTAAACCTTTTTTTTTAACAAACAACTGAAAATGAATATGTAATATATGCAACACTTGGTTTTACATGATAACATTATATATGACAAGTTTTGAAAAAATTAAAAAGAATCTGAAATAATGTGAATCAAATTACACTTCAGCTTTTGCTTTAATCTTTTAAAAAATGGCATCAGGCAAGATATCTTTAAAATTTTCTGTTAATTAGGCAATTTTAGAAGTGACGTTTCATAAATAATCTTCAATTTATTTTATAGGTGTAAAATTTCCAAATTCATAGAGTAATTTCATTTTTCACAATAATTGAATTTCATCATAACATTTTTCTGTTCGCTTATACCCTGCACTTGTTTCGAAGTAGAGTAAGCTCTATCTAATAATTAGACTTGCATAGAGCTAAGTGGATGAACATCAAGTTGATACTTGAAACTGCGTAATTATACAGCCAATGGAAAAAAGGACTATTTCGTCTGCAGTCGTAAAGATCGGGAGTGTTGTCTGGTACTTTTTTTTTGTCAAAAATCAGTTTTTTTTTGTACTACAAATTTTAAAACAAGTAATTTACCTTAAAAAACAAATAATGAAAACAATCATCAGTTTCAGATGGCCGCGATGGGATTCAAACTCTTTTTTTTTCGAATTTCGAATCTTTCGCGATTCGGGAGACTGCTCTGACCAATTTATTTATTTTATTTGATAGGCATACAGTATAGGTAACAATAAAAGTACTTTTAAAATAGTACAGTTAGTGCGTTGGCTGTAACAAATAAAATGTTTAACCAATTATATACGCATGAATGGTCGATGCTAACTATTTTTCTGTCACATAAATAGCAATATACGATTATGAGGCAAAATTTATTTAATATAATTTAATGTAACAGAAGAGATTTTTATTTTAATTGAAAGCGTAAAATTTTGCTTACTGTTTAGGCAGATTTCCTGCACATGAATGTATGTCTATATATATGTCTTGGGTAGTTCAACCAGAGTACGTTCGGTTTGTCATTACTGAAATTAAGCAATTTTAACAAAGCATGATCATCACCGATGATCAAAAATTTACCATCCACGATCCTTGCCGCTGAGGGCAGCCGTTAACCAAGTCTTTAATACCCACCAATCCGCATTGGAACGCGTGTTGGGTTGACTGGTCTCAGTAAACTGCCATTAAGAAAGCTTGGGCCTTAGCAGTGAGGATAAATAAGCTGACTCAACTTTCCCGAGTCTATTTCCTTCTAATTATCAGGTACGTATATCTCATTCGAATTACACCTTAGTGCTTATGGCCAACTTAGGGCACTTACTTATACTCTAACGAGAATTCAAAAAATACTAATTGTTCTTATTATTATGTTAAAATCATATCATTGAAGATTATATCTGTGCATCAAAGGCGGTGTCAGGTCTTACCTATGTTGTATCATAAATTATAGAAAAAAGCGTTTCTATGGAGTTGTATTAGCACATCGATAATAGATTGAAATGTCATTTCGTAGATATAGAATAGGTCGGGTGTCATGTTAATTTGTACAAGTTGCACTTATAACAGCTAAACGGTCGGTTGCACAAACGTCCATTAAGGTTTAATGACGCCTTTAAGCTCTAATGAATGTCAAATTTGTATGTGTAATGTCGCTTTAAACTAATGAGAATCTTAATGAACGTTTGTGCAACTGAAAGACTTCTTGTTTGCTCTTAAAATTCTATTCATATAAATCGCACATATTCAAATAGATATTTTTTCTCGAGTACAAGCTAATATATGACGCACGTGATATGAAATTATTGTTCAATATTTTGTCTTT